AGATTTGTTTATTATGTTTAAAGTGCACATTAAAATATTTGACTAAAGTAACCATCTGATCTGTATAGTAATAATAAATATTGTAAATTTTTTTATATAGGGATGTTCATTTGGGTCCGTTTTCCCAACTGACAATAGCTGCTCATTAGGCGAATAGGCTATTACCATTAACCGGTCAGGTTAATATTAAATTAGAATTTAATTATTATTGCAAAAATCAACTCAGTCATTGGTTTTGCTTGTTGGCTATTTTAAAAATAGATATTCTATAAGAATTATTATTTAATAACTGTTATTTTCCAAATGAAAAAGAAGTTGGCTTGTTGGTTGTATTTGTTGTATGATATTTAATTTAATTTAATTTAATTTAATTTAATTTAATTTAATTTAATTTAATTTAATTTAATTTAATTTAATTTAATTTAATTTAATTTAATTTAATTTAATTTAATTTAATTTAATGACTCTTAGCGTCTCAAGTCCACCGACATACACGGATAGCTACTGGACAAACTAATTACATTGGGAAAGCCGTCCATACAGACTTAAGTAGTTAGATGGTAAGCAGGAAAAGGAACGGACTTACGTACTTCTGGCTACATAATTCACGACCTCTAGAAATGTATATAGAACTACATTTTCAGAATGAGCCTGTTGCACAAATCAATTAAGTTATCTTAATTGTTTTTACAAGTTTAAGTGGATTGAACATAAACAATTAAGTTGTCCCCCAAAAAACTCAGGAATAGTGTTGATTCAGCTTATTTTAAATAAGTAGTTTGACAAAGCAGTTTTGAGTGACTAACATGTGCTACTGTACCTTTTAAGAAGTTTGGACATTCTTTGTCTTCAAATTTTCCCATTTAAGATTAGAGGGACAAAAACATAAAAATGGTGAAAAAAGCCAACTTATCTTTATATCTTTTCCAAAGCGATCACGCTCCATTTAGATTCCAACTCTAAACTTTATGAGATGTGTGTTTTTAAACAGCATTTATGCTAGATGGTCTGATTTTCTTTCACCATCTGGTCCAACACAACCATTAAAACCTGTTTGTAAAGAAACTGTAGTTGGGTTCGTTCTCCAACTGAAAGATAAACTTACCGCCAGTTAAAACATATATTTCGCCAGTGCCATTCTCCTGGTTTTTGCTCTATACATTTTTTCCTTTTTATTTTAACAGCTCATTTGATCAAAAGCCGTTCGTGTCCGTGCATTCAAATTTTTAGACAGTGTTTGGGTGGTCTGCTGTAATTTCCACTTCCAGGCTGAGACATTAAAACACTTGGATATTGTTTGTACTTCTTCCTAATTTATGCTTTTGTTTACTAATTCTGCCGCTTTTCTGAATGCTTTAGTCAGGATTTATAATCCAAATGCTTTTTGCTTTCATAGCATGAATAATAATTCTTCAGCCATGGAGATTATCCATGAAATGTGGGAATTATTTCCTCGAGCCATTTGAACTCTATTTTGTATAAATGTATAAGCTTCTATTTAGATTTTTGTGTTTATGGTTTTTCATTGAAACAATAGCAACTATTCAGTCTGTATACAAATATAATTTACATTTCAGTGTGCTATTTGCATTTGAGTAAAATACATGTTAATTTTACTGTATTTTGAAGACACTGTCGATAATAATTCCAACATAGGCTCCTTCTGTAAATGTAACGTAAATGTGCAGTATGATGCTGTTCCTTTTCTGGTTTACCAGCTGACCGCTTATCTTCATATGGACAGCTTTCCCGCTGTTACCAGTTTGTCCGGTAGCTCGACATGTACGTTGGCAGACTTGGGACGCAGAGAGGAGTTGACCACGACAATGTGGTTCGAGTCTGGTGAAGAACGGTTCCAGAAAGCAGGTAAAAAAAAAAGCCAAAAAATAAAATAAACTAATAAATAACAAAGTGAGAATGTGGTAAAACCTGGAAACCTTGGGTCAAGGGAAGTTGGTTAATCGGTGCTTTTAAAAACACTATTGGTTGGTTTTAGGGAAGGGTGGGGGGATCGGTCAGTCAGTCAGTTAGTTCAATCGACAGCGGCCTCTGGTGGATTTACGCGAGAAGGACAGGCGCAAATGGCACTTGCATGAGAAATTTGACATTACAAAAAACATACACAGCTGGTGGATTCACAAAAAACTGCAAAAAAAACGTAGCTCCTGGGATGAATATTGCGCTGTCCAGAAATGTAAATAGCAGTACATAATTAGCACAACCGTAAAATAAAACTCTAATAATTTTCTCAGTACAGACAATAATAGTCACTTTTAAATGATCTTTCCTTTACGCTTTTTTTTCTTCTTCTTTTTACAAAATTGGTTGAGCGCATGGTGGTGCTACTATATAAATAAATTAAATTTTAAAAAGCTAAAAATGCTGTATTTCCAACCCAATCTCACAGCAATTCATATCAGAAAAGTTTCTGAGACTTTTATTTCAGTATGTTGATGTACTAACACCTGAAATGGAATACTGAGTAGGGGGCGGAGCTTTTCTTTTGCGCATCATTCACTCATAGCAAACAGTGATGTATTGTAGGAGTTTGGTTAAGAAAATTGTAGCTGAAGCGTCAAACTAAAATCATCAGAGAAGCACCGCCTCTCCAAATTCAGAAGCAATTGATCGTTTATTTTCAGCAACCCAGGCTCAGTCTGAAAACGTACCCCTATATACATTTCTGGAGAGCACCAAAGATGTCCCAGGAGCTACGTTTTTTTTTTTTTTTTTTTTGCAGTTTTTGTTTTCGGGAATCCATCAGAGGCCGCTATGTATGCTTTTTCAGATCTCAAATTTCACTTGCAAGTACTATTCATGCCTGCTGTTCTTATATAAATCCACCAGAGTGACTGACTGATCGACTGACCCACATTCCCGCTTCCCTAAACCCAACCAATAGTGTTTCAAAAAGCACCGATTGACCCACCAACCCACTTCCAACAGTTTCTTAAAAACAATTCAGAAATAGAAAAGCCCTGCCTTAATTTTTACCACATTTGCAAATAGGGCTGTGCAATTGATCGAAAATCCGATTTCGATTTTGGCTTCAAACGATTATGAAAAAGCATTAATCGAGATAAACGATTATTGCATCATATACCGCCCCCTTTCCAGCTGTAAACATTTATTGCTCTTAAAAGACCGCGTGCTTATGAGTGTGTGCGGCGCGCACACATAGTCAGAAGCATGCGGCCGGTCAGCTTTCGGTCTCATTCGCACACTAAGACGAGAGGACCGCAGACATCTAAAGTCATCTTAACGTAAGCGCTTTAATAGTCAAATAGGTGTCAAAACACGGTGTTTAGTGATTATTCATATTAACCCTCATTTGTGTAATAAACAAACGAGTTGAGGATCAAAAGACACGTGAAAGAGAAACCATTAAAGAGACTGCGCAAAATATTCTTGCTGCCGCCTGTTTCTATCATTAATCAAACAAAATGAGAAAATCCCTCACTGCTCTTGACTGAAGGATTTTTGTAGCTAAAGTGTTTTTCTTACAGTGAAGATGCTTAAATTACAGTTTGTTTCATATTTTTATTCTATTGTATTTATTTCTCTTTCCTTTGCAGGGTGGAAAATAACTGTATGTATACAGTTGAAGTCAGAATTATTATCCCTCCTGAATACTAGCAACCCTTTTCCTCCCCAATTTTTGTTTCATGGAAAGAAATTTTTTTTTTTTACTTATTTCTGAACATAATAGTTTGGATATCCCATTTCTAATTACCGATTTCTTTTATCTTTGCAATGATGACAGTACATAATATTTTTCTAGCTATTTTTTCAAAATACAAGCATTCAGATTAAAGTGCAATTCAAAGGCTTAATTAGAGAAATTAGGCAAGTCATTGTATAAATGTAGTTTCTTCTGCAGACAATCAAAAAATAAATTGCTTAAGGGGGCTAATAATATTGACCTTAAAATGGGTTTCAAAATATTTAAACCTGCTTTTATTCTAGCTAAAATAAAACAAATAAGCCTAGAAGAAAAAATGTTATAGGAAATACTGTTAAAATTTCTTGCTCTGTTAAACATCATTTGGGAAATATTTATTTAAAAAAGATTCTCAGGAGCGTTTATAATTTTGACTTCAACTGATAATCGTTTTAAATAACCGTGATTACAATTATGACCAAAATAATCATGATTATGATTTTTCCATAAATCGAGCAGCCCTATTTTCAGATTTCACCACATTCTCACCCTGATATTAACTTGCTTATTTTATTCTATGACCTTTGTTTTTGTTTTACCTGCTTTTTGGACACATTCTTTACAAAACGCAAACCCCGTTGTCGTGATCAACTTTGCGTCTCAAGTCTGCCGACGTACATGGCAAGCTACAGCATTCATTTTAAAGATGAAATGCCCCCATATGTACTTCTGGCTATATAACTCGTGATCTCCAGAAATGTATATAGGGCTACATTTCAGAATGAGCCTATGTTGATTTTCAGTGGATTACAGTGCGCATTAATTGCTCACCTAAACAGCAATGTGCCCTAGCAAAATAAACATTGTACGTTTTGAATACACAACAAAAAATACTCCTGCACTCTCTAAGCCCTTAGAGAAATCAAGTTTTCCTGATTCAAGTAAATAGGCTGCTCATCCAGCGTTGTGTATATTTCAGGTTAACACATTTACCTTCAGTGTGCAGACTGTGTGGCCATGCTGACGGTAAACACCAATCCATCTTTTATATTCGGTTTGCATTGGCATCCCGTGATTAATGTGGTGACCGAGAGCGTCTAGGTAAATCTCTCTTGGAAAAGCATAAACGTGGACCTTGTCAATTAAATAAATCTGAGAAGCCACCGAAGCAATCAACAGCTTGGATAAATGACCGTGTTTGAGAGTAGACAATGCACAGGTCTGCCAAAAACAAGTCAACAGCTGTGCAGGCCATCATGGAGAGCGTTATTAATCAATCTGAAGAATCTGAGACTATGCTGGAGGTATTTCTGACAGGCAAGAGAAGATTGAAACTCACCTGAAATAGAAGAAAATGGCCAGCGAGATGAGGAGAGACACTATAGAAAGAGCGTGACCCACAATCGCCATGTAATACAAAATATACGCCATCTGAAATGAGAAAAAGAATGAAGTAGTCAACCTCTCTCCAAGACTGCAAGACTCTTTCTTTCTAGATTTTTTTGGTTTCAAGAGACGTCACGTACATGTCATTTTTGTTGAATTGAATTGTTTGTGAATTGGATGGGGCAACCATTACTGCATCCAATATGGTGAAAAGCCTTGGAGTAATGATTGATGACCAACTAAACTTCTCTGACCACATTTCTAGAACTGCTCGATCGTGCAGATTCACAATCTATAACATCAGAAAGATCCGACCCTTCTTATCTGAACATGCAGCTCAACTCCTTGTTCAAGCTCTTGTTCTCTCCAAACTGGATTACTGCAACTCTCTACTAGCTGGGCTTCCAGCTAACTCTATCAAGCCTCTTCAGCTGCTCCAGAACGCAGCAGCACGAGTGGTCTTCAATTAACCTAAAAGAGCACATGTCACTCCGCTGCTAGTCCGTTTGCACTGGCTGCCAGTTGCTGCTCGCATCAAATTCAAAGCTCTGATGTTTGCCTACAAAGCGACTTCTGGCTTTGCTCCTTCTTATCTGCTCTTACTGCTGCATATCTATGTGCCCTCCAGAAACTTGCGTTCTGTGAATGAACGTCGCCTCGTGGTTCGATCCCAAAGAGGGAAGAAATCACTTTCGTGAACGCTCACGCTCAATCTGCCCAGTTGGCGGAATGAACTCCCTAACGGCATCAGAACGGCAGAGTCACTCGCTATTTTCAAGAAATGACTAAAAACTCAACTATTTAGTCTCCACTTCACTTCCTAATCTGCAATTGTCTCTCTGGATATCCCACTAACTGTACTCAAAAAAAAAAAATTACTAAATTACTAAAAAAATTACTAATACTTTCCATTTTAGACTTTACAGACCTGAAACTTGTCTATAGCGCTTATTCATTGTTGCTCTTGTAGTTGTGTAAATTGCTTCCTTGTCCTCATTTGTAAGTTGCTTTGGATAAAAGCGTCTGCTAAATGACTAAATGTAAATGTAAATGTTTGATTTTATATTTATTTCAGCATTTAAGATATTAAAGTCAATAACTCCTGAGCTAACATTAACTAAATATAGTTATATTGGCATTTGCTATGAAAGGCGATTAATTCTGTAACTATAGAATGTGCTAGCAACAATGTAGAGTTCCAAGTGCAGCTTTATTCAAAGAGAATGGTCAGGCAGGCAGAGGTTGAAACAGAAACAAACCACAATATCAGAGTAATCCACAAATCGTAATCCAGAAAACAGGCGACAGGTACAAGGCTTAAGATACGTGACTAAAGTGTTTTGAAAAACAAAGTCACATGACTACAGTGTTTTTAAAGCATTGGGCATTTTAGAAGCAATTCGAGACCTGGTGAATCTGGGTTTGACTGACAGGGTCAGGAAATAAATCTCTATCTCCTGTAGCCTAGTGGAGAGTGCTGCAAATGACCCGAGTTCCAATCCCAACTTGCACAAATACTCTGAAATTTTGGCTTGATGAATTTTAATAATGTTAATTTTTATGACCAAAACAAGACATATTTATCACAAAGTGTTCATTGGGATGTCAGACCAATGATGAAACAAACATGTTACAAAAACAGAGCATTTCAAACCTAACATCTATAGCTGAATCACCCTGTATTCTAACCCATTATCTCTGCATGCTAGACAGGAACTCTCACTACTTCACTAAATCACTGGAAGCCTCAACTCTACAACGTGGAGTTTATTACCTAATTTTGTTTAACTGTTTCTTTGCTGAAGCTATTCCAGAGCAATACATAAAAAATAGTAAATAATAAAAAATTTAAAAGAAAAACAATATTATCTTTGTATCTTTTAATATTTTATTATTTTCTTAATTTAATTTTTTTATGGATTAAATGCATATTGATTGATAAATTATACAGTGGATGTCTGAACAATATATATATATATATATATATATATATATATGTTTATCTTTGTCCCCAATTTCTGTTTAACCAAGAGAAGATTTTTACATTACACATTTTTTATAGAACACATTTCTAAGCATAATAGTTTTAATAACTCATTTCTAATAACACTGATTTTTTTTATCTTTGCCATGTTGACAGTAAATAATATAAGACGAGATATTTTTCAAGACACTTCTATACAGCTTAAAGTGACATATAAAGGCTTAACTGTGTTAATTAGGTTAACTAGGCAGGTAAGGGTAATTAGGCAAGTTATTATATATCGATGGTTTGTTTTGTAGACTATCGAAAAAAATATAGCTTAAAGGGGCTAATAATTTTGTCCTTAAAATGGTTCTTCAAATATTTATAACTGCTTTTATTCTAGCCGAAATAAAACAAATAAGACTTTCTCCAGAAGAAAAAATATTATCAGACATACTGTGATAATTTTCTTGCTCTGGTAAATATAATTTGTGAAATATTTAAAAAAGAAAAAAAAAATCAAAGGGGGGCTAATAATTCTGACTTTAACTGTATATTTATGTGTGTGTGTGTGTACAGTTTATATATATATATATATATACATATATATATATATATATATATATATATATATATATATATATACATACATTGCTTATTGTTAGTTATTGTTAATGCATTAATTATAATAAACTAATAGGATCTTATTACAAATGTATACAATGCATTAAATGAAAATAATTACTTGTATCTAATCCCCAAAAAATTTAATTATTACATTTTTTATTACTATTGCAGGGTTTTTAAAGTGTGTTATCATGTTGTTTGAAAAATGTTTATTAAAATATTTTTTTTTAAATCACAGAGTATACCTTTTAATGTCAAGCATGTTATAAAAATCAATAGATTTTAAAAGCAAAAGTCATTTCATGCAACAAAGCTGAAATCTCACGGTAGTAAAAAGGCTTAAAAGTAACATTGAAAGTGCATCTGAATTTGTGGTGACTTTTTTCTGAACTCCAGTGAGTCGCTTCTGCTCTGCCGGAATGAACTGCACAGACTTGATCTGAGTGAGTCTGAGCTGACATCTTCCCCGTCCTCTCTTTATCCCTCACACTTTGTAAAGCAGCAGCTGTAGCCACTGAAACCATTATGGTCTGAATAATTTGCAGAGCCGCTGTCCTACAGAAAAGCTGTTTAGTTAACCTGAATCTACCTCATGTAGAGATTACACTTCACTGCAGCTGAAGCTGAAAGAAATACTCCGATGTAACATTTCTTTCAGGAACAGCTTTTAGACCAATCTCAACTGCATGCATCAGCGCTTTATGTTTAGAAAGGATGTTGGAGACTTCTCATTCTTGTGCTAAATTAATATAAGGTACAATTCAGAAAACCAGTGGATGCACTGCCAAGTTGTTGGTCTGAAATATAATCACAAAAAGGCTTTATATTTAAACATCCTTTTTAATATTTTCTGACCCCTTTAATCAGATATATTTAAACCACAATATAATGATCCTTTAATACACAATTTATACAGGTCTGGTTTGAGCTTGAATAGATATATAAAACTCAAGAAAAAAAAAACGTACCTATATTTTTTAAACAGAAATAATCAATAAAAAAAATTTAAATAACATTTTAATAAAAAAGGGGGTTATGTTCAGATCATTATATAGAATACATTGCTTTTTTATTTTAAAAAGGGTAAATACAGAACTTGGTAACAATATTTTTAAAACATTGCCTCATCCACTGGATACACTGGAGATTGGCAAAAATAACTCAAGACGTGGACCCTATATGTGATCGCTGCAAGCAAGCACCTGCAGATTTAATACATATATTTTGGCTTTGTCGATCAATCACTTCTTTTTGGCAATCAATTTTCAAGTGTTTCTCTTCTGTGACAAAGATACACATCAAACCGTGCCCTCTTATTGCACTTTTTGGACTTTCCCCGAAAATACCAGGGCTATCGAGCTGTATAGCAAACGCCCTTGCATTTTTGACACTGTTTTCATAATAACAGAACACAACGTCTTGCTAACAAAGTTTCCCCCATCCGAGTTTTGACATCTGGTTGCGAGATGCAATGAGCTTCATCCACTTGGAAAAAATCAGGTTATAAATAAATGTCAATATAGGGCTTTTTCTGAAACATGGGACCCATTTAGAATGTTCTTTTCTGAGCATGTCAGTATCTCTACAAACAGTCAATCTAAATCTTAGGGCCATTCAGTTGCAATGCAAACATAATTAGGTGCTTTATAAAACCCTGAGGATTCATTTTTTTGTATTATTGGGTTACCAAAGTATATGTGTATTCTGTATGGATGTTTTTTTTTTAACTTATTTTTATTTTGTAATTTCTTTATTGGATTTACTTATTTGTTTGTATTTATTTATTTATTTATTATTATTGTTAATATTATTATTATTAATTTTTCTTCTTTTCTTTGTTAGATAAATGTAATTTCAACTTGTGTAGCGGGTAGGGGTGGGAATAATATTTGTTTAAATTTCTCTGTAAAAATACTTTTATATATCTGTAAAAGTTTAATAAACAAATAAAAAAGGGTAAATACAGAACTTGGTAACAATATTTGTAAAAAAATTTATGGGAAATTGCTGATCAGATATGGTTTTAGCAGCAAAAAGATTAAGGTTTTACTCTTCTATAAATGAAGGATTCTCTGGAATATGAAAACAGCAGGCCTATATTGATTTTGAATGCATTAGGAAGAAAAGGTTTAAGGTTTTTAAGGATTTGGAGATGATACCTTGAGCTTGTCCTTGGTGTGAGCGATGCAGAGGGTGTAGTTTGACCATGTCCTGTTGGTCTCAGGGTGTCTGAACCAGTTGCCAGTCTCATCACAATACTTGGTAACCTTTTCTAAATAAACAAGGATAAAGATGTGAGACAATTTATTTTGTAAGTAACTCAAGGCTCAGAAAACACATTTGAGTTTAATATGCTAGTCAGGTTTTAACTTTCACTTCGAGATTCATTTAAGAATTGGTGAGGTGCAGACTAGTAAAGTGTTTTCAAATTGGTTTTGCTTTGGGTGAATCTATCACCATTGCCTTGTTTAGTTTGGGTTTATCTTTTTTTTTAAACGCCAGAAGACAAAAATGCTAAATGGATTCCACCTACTTCGGTAATGAAAGAGAAAAGCACTGAATGTGACAAAAAGTCTGGAAAAGGTGACTTAAAGTCTACATAAAATCAAAATAATTGGTGACCCTGGTGTACAGTTGAAGTCAGAATTATTAGCCCCTTTTGAATTATTATTATTATATTTTTTAATTATTTCCCAGATGATGTTTAATAGAGCAATGAAATTTTTTACAGTATGTCTGATAATAATTTTTCTTCCGGAGAAAGCGTTATTTGTTTTATTTCAGCTAGAATAAAAGCAGTTTTTAATTTTTTAAACCCCATTTTAAGAAAAATATTATTAGCCCCTTTAAGCTATATTTTTTATTTGATAGTCTACAGAACAAATCGTCATTAAACAATAACTTGCCTAATTACCTTAACCTGCCTAGTTAACCTAATTAACCTAGTTAAGCCTTTAAATGCCACTTTAAGCTGTATAGTAGTGTCTTGAAAAGTATCTAGTCAAATATTATTTACTGTCATCATGACAAAGATATAAGAAATCAGTTATTAGAAATGAGTTATTAAAGCTATTATGTTTAGAAATGTGTTGAGAAAATCTTCTTTCCGCTAAACAGAAATTGGGAGAAAAAAAAAAACAAGGGGGCGAATAATTCAGGAGGGCTAATAATTCAGGAGGGCTAATAATTCAGGAGGGCTAATAATTCAGGAGGGCTAATAATTCTGACTTTAACCGTATATATGCAACATAAGAGACCAGGGTCACCAGTTTGCACTTTTTTATTTTATGTTTTATCCTAGAACAGTGGTTCTCAAACTTTTTTCATCAAGTACCACCTCAGAAAAAATTGTCTCTCCGAGTACCACCAAAACGAGCAGTATTGAAATACAGTAGCGTAGTAGGCCCATTAAAGCAGCTACAACTCTGCAAAGTGAAAAAACGTGGCCGATTACCTCAGAAATATAGGCTATATATGGCATATTATATACATCTTTTTTGATCAATTTTAAAATGTGTGTAGCATGTACATGACATATTTCATTCCTCCGCGTACCACTCGAAGGAAGCCTGCTTACCAATAGTGGTACACGTACCACAGTTTGAGAACCATTGTCCAAGAATATTAAGTAAAGATCATTTTCCATAAATATATTTTGTAAATTTTCAATGTAAATATATAAAAACTGAATTTTTGTGTTGTTATATGCATTGCTAAGAACTTCATTTAGACAGTTAGAAAGGTGATTCACTCATAAACATCTACTCAAAGGAGACGTTTCTCCAAAACAATCTTTATTGCAATAGCAGCTATCCAACATTTACTTTTGCAATGCCCTATTCTTATCAGACAATGATTTTTATGTGGAGAGAGTTTAAAGGAAATATTTTTAAATGTGAATCATTCAAGAATTGTATAACATTTTAATCTAGTTTTAGATTGTTATCCTATTGTTATAAACAAAAAAAAGTTATCTGTTTTTGCCGTGAAATAGTCAGAAAAGCTGATATGGCAATAAACTCAAAACTCTCTCGTCAGAGTATGGTGTCACGATCACCAGCGATCGAACCAATATTGATTGCTGAAGAACATTCACTAACACACGGACAACAATCCTGTCACCAGGTACTACAAATCCTGTCCTGCACCACACACACACACACACACACACACACACACACACACACACACACACACACACACACACACACACACACACACACACACACACACACACACACACACACACACACACACACACACACACACACACACACACAGACAGACAGACAGACACACACACACCTGTTCCGGTGTCCTGACATTTTATCCTACCTCCTATCAGATTATGCTACCAACACCAGATAGGTTAGGGCAGGGGTGTCAAACTCAATTCCTGGAGGGCCGAAGCCCTGCACAGTTTAGTTCCAAACCTGCTCCAGCACACTTACCTGTAGGTTTCAAACAAGCCTGAAGGACTCAATTAGTTTGATCAGGTGTGTTTAATTAGGGTTGGAACTAAACTGTGCAGAGCTGCGGCCCTTTTGGAACTGAGTTTGACACCTGTGGGTTAGGGCAATACTACAGCTTCACACTACCACACTACTCCACATTAAAATTTACACTGGTAGCATATTGTGTCATCAAAATGGTCTACCTACTTTTTGAATGGGAGGTAGGACAATCTGACAATTAGGACAAATTGACAGAACACCGGTTCTCCTTTGATTACACACACAGAGCTAGGAGCTGTTCAAGGACTAATTACGCAGACTATATAAACTGCTCATATTCACACTCACATGGCTGAGTCTTGTTTCTGTTTTAGAACATCCCCTAATCATTTTCCTTGCCTTGTCTAGCCGTGTTTTGACCCTAGCCTTGTTTTACTGTTTATCTTGATGCTGTAGTGACCTTTCGCCTGTTTTTGACTATGATCTTGAATGACCTTTTTGCTCCTGTTTGCTACCTGTTTGACCATCACCTGCCTGACTACCGTTCTTAATAAACGGCATATGGATCCTTAACTATGTTGTCCCAGACCCTTACAGTATGTGACATATGGACTACTTTTTGCAGTTTTGTTTACAGATTATTTATATAATTGTTTGTCACGTGTTTGTCTGCACACCTCATTTCAGACTTTTCCCGATCTTTCATTAAAAAAAGCTCATAAAATGAAAAAGACACATACCAGTGGAGTCAAAGTCAGCAAAGTAATTGGGGCAGTACTGCGACGTGAACGTCCCTGCTGGAGTATCGTCCCAGCACAGCCAGCCGTCCCACGTGCGGTTACAGTATAAACCTAAAGACAAGCACACAATCAATCAGGCCAGCCCCAGTGTGCTCTTTCTGGAAGCTCTTGTGAGGCTCTCTCACCTGATTTGTTGTAAGGCTGGTCCCTGTTCATTTTCTCAAAGCATTTATATTGACCGTCGATGATCATCTTCCTCTCCTCCGCTTTCTGAATCACTACAGGGCTGACCTTGCTCTCCGCTGTGGGATCCAGCTCCGTCTCTGTCTCTGAAAAGCCGTGAACTGGTAACGTCTGAAGATAAAAAGCATCATTTGTTTTGAGAATACACATTAAACATATCTGAACTACTGGATAATTAGAGGTCTAATTAGGCATTTAGTGTCGGTTGTATCTGTCGTTTCTCTTTCTTCTCACTAGGGATCTATAGTCTGAATTTTCTGGAAAATTACTGGTAAATTGCAATGAAGAGATCAAATTTGACCAGAATTTTTGTTCTGGCAATTTTTATAATGAAAAGTCTGATGATTCATGGCAATTTTGTGTCCATGAAAACCTTATTTTCCGGTAACACTTTACTAGGATGTTTATATAAGACTGTCGCTAAACCTTTATAAACATGATGAGATTGTATGCATGCTTATAACAACTATCATTAGGTGCCATTTGCTCAGTTATGACTTTTTAAATACAAAGATGACATTGTTTGTTTTGACAACTTGACATACTGTAAACAAAGAAAATAGCAGGAAATAGCAAGAACATGCTACAGGAAAATAGCATATGAATTATAACTTATTCATGTCTACATCAATACAATGAAATTCCGACATTCCATTCATTCATTCATTTTCTTGTCGGCTTAGTCCCTTTATTAATCCGGGATCGCCACAGCAGAATGAACCGCCAACTTATCCAGCAAGTTTTTATGCAGCTGATGCCCTTCCAGCTGCAACCCATCTTCAGGAAACATCCACACACACTCATTGACACACACACTCATACACTACGGACAATTTAGCCTACCCAATTCACCTGTACCACATGTCTTTGGGAAACCGGAGCACCCGGAGGAAACCCACGCGAAACATGCAAACTCCACACAGAAACGCCAACTGAGCCGAGGCTCGAACCAGCGACCCAGCGACCTTCTTGCTGTGAGGTGACAGCACTACCTACTGCGCCACTGCTTCGCCCTCCAATAGTCCGAAACATTAAAAAATACATTTTCTTTACAGTTTTTGTATCATTACATGCTCAAAATCCATGATTCACAATATTATAGCTAAACACCAAACTGTTAAAGAAACACAGAAAGATCCAATTCCTCATTCATGCCTCTTGGTGTAAGTGATTTTAATTTATGAATCCAGAACGCTTCTCTTTGTAATAATCTTTTATTTAGATTACCTCCTCTATGTGACTCAAATACTTCTTTGATTCCTTTGCATTCTAGTTGCTTAACATCATGTCCAAAATCTATAAAACGTCTTGCTACTGCTGAAGTTAAATCTTGTCATCATATACTTGATTATTATTCACTAATTCGCAATTTTAACTGACGTGCTGACTTCCCTATGTATATCTTTTGGTATGGATGTTTTAACATGTCGTGCACCTTACAAGTAGAGCAGGTCATACATGTTTTTATTTTAATATTTTTTCTTTATTACATTATTTTGATATTTGTTGCTGGATTCAAAAATTCTTTACACTTTACCAAATTCTGAGATGCGGCACAATTTCTGCATGGAAAACAACCATGTATGAAAGAGGATTTCTTATTTCTTACTGTATCAGTGTTAATCATCATATCTGCTCAATTTTGCAACACAGGCTCATTCTGAAAAGGTAGTCCCATGGACGTTTCTGGTGAATTACGTAGCAGGAGGTACGTATGGCTGCATTTGATTTCTTTTAAGCGAACGCTATGGGGGCGGTATGACGCCATTCCTTTTCACGCTTACGCTCCATGTGAAGGGCTTTCCCGCCACAATCAGTTTGTCTCGTTAGTTCGTCATGTACGTCGGCGGACTTGAGATGCAGAGAGGGGTTGACCACGATGATGATGACGGGGTTCGAGTCCGGGGAAGAACGGTTCCAGAAATCAGGTAAGACAAAAACAGAATCCAAAAAATAAAATGAATAAGTGAATAACAGGGTGAGAATGTGGTAAAATCCAAAAATGTGGTAAAAATCAGACGAGGGCTTTTCTTTTTCTGGACAGCTTTGGTAAAGCATTGTTGGGTTTAGGGAAGTGGGTGGGCGGGTCAATTGATAAAATTGGTTGGGTTTAGGGAAGGAGGAAGTTGGGTCAGTCAATTGGATTGGTCGGCCAGCCAGTCAGACAGCGACCTCTGGTGGGTTTACGCGAGAACAGCGGGTGCGAACGGCACTCGCAAGATAAATTTGAGATATAAAAGAGCGCACACAGCGGCCTCTCGCGGATTCACGAAAACAAAAACTGCAAAAATATGTACCTACCCGGACGTTTTTTGTGGTCTCCAGCAACGTCCACGGGACTACATTTTCAGAATAAGCCTGGGTAAATTTTGGGATCTTTTAAAGGTAAATAATGGATGATGTTGAAATTTATTATTTAAGGATTCGTCGGAAGAAATATGTCAATGGATCCTTATGGATCGTTGATTTAATAAAATTGCTATGTTTGTTATATGTTAATTTACTGAAAACTCTTTTAGTTTCTAAGTAGGTTGTACTGTTTTTAAAATATCTTGTCGATGTAATTTATTTACCTTATCTAATGCATCATTCAACCAACTTTGCGGATACCCTCTCGAACGAAACATTTGAAATAATGTGTTTTTCTGTTTATCAAACTCTTCTACACTCTTCTCTTCTGACTGGATTATGCCATTAACTTTTCCCCATGACTGAAATCACAGGGCCCTAAATTCCCCCCTGCTATGTTGAAATCTCCTTACAGCATTTAAAGCAAATGTGTGGTCTAACCAATCAAATCCACAGCTCATTAGCATGCAAAACTTTACCTTAATTTTATCCTTTGAGAACGTGAGGCAGTGGGACCATGTTTTATTGATGGATGCGCTGTGTACCCAGTTGCCAGATTCGTCACAGTATTTGGTTACTTTTTCTAGAGGGAAAAAGAAAGTTTAGTTTAATGACTCGAGCTTAAGTGTACCAGTGATTAACTCCAGCTCATGATCGACCTCTGGATACAATCAATCTGTGTGTGTGTGTGTGTGTGTTAGAAGAACAAACACATACTGTGCTGATTCTCAGACAGAGAGATCTCTATCAGCGAACAGCCCAGAACATCAATATTTCAGCACCTCAGCAAACATCTGTTATATCCTTAACTCAACATAGCTGTGGTCATTGCTTAACTTTGCTGATATTTAGAAACAAAATTCTCATGAACGTTTGATATGAAAATGTGCTGCAGGAATAAGCTTGTTTTAGTAAACGAATATTAAAGCACAATAAACAAAAAACTACAACTAATTTATACTAAACTAAAGTCACTGAAAAACAAACTGAAATAAAATAACAATTATCAAAAATAAATCATCGTTTTCAGAATTCATAAGCACTCATTCTGTGACAAAAAGTCTGACCTGTGGCAGACAAACACATTAGTAAAGCGCATGATTATATACTGTACAAATGCCTGATTTTTCTCTGTCCCTGTTTAAACAATTATTTTATTTTTGTAACTAAGAGGTTTGCATTGAATGTGTTCTGTTAATTCTGCTAAACTAGAATTACTAAAAATAAACATTAAAAAAAATGTTAATCTGGAAAAAAACTGTCTTAATCCTTCGTGGCTTAGATTCAACAAGGTACTGGAAATATTCCTCAGAGATTTTGCTTCATATTGACATGATAGCTTCACGCAGTTGCTGCAGATTTGTCAGCTGCACAACCATGATGCGAATCTCCCGTTCCACCACTTCCCAAAGGTACTCTATTGGATTGAGATCTGGTGACTGTGTTGGCCATTTGAGAACAGTGAACTCATTGTCATGTTCAAGAAACCAGTCTGAGATGATTTGTGCTTAATGACATGGTGCGTTATCCTGCTGGAAGTAGCCATCAGAAGATGGGTACCGTGTGGTCATAAAGGGATGGACATGGTCAGCAACAATACTCAGGTAGGCTATGGCATTGACACGATGCACAATTGGTACTAATGGGCCTAAAGTGTGCCAAGAAAATAACCCCACACCATTACACCACCACCAGCCTGAACTGTTAATACAAGGCAGGATGGATCGATGCTTTCATGTTGTTGATGCCGAATTCTGACCCTACCATCCGAATGTTGCAGTAGAAATCGAGACTCATCAGACATCATTCATCAACGGTTTTCCAATCTTCTATAGTCCAATTTTGGTGAGTCTGTGTGAATTGTAGCCTCAGTTTTCTGTTCTTAGCTGACAGGAGTGGTAGCCGGTGTGGTCTTCTGCTGCTGTAGCCCATCTGCCTCAATGTTGGACGTGTTGTGCATTCAGAGATGCTCTTCTGCAGACCGCAGTTGTAACAAGTGGTTATTTGAGTAACTGTTGTCTTTCTATCAGCTCGAACCAGTCTGGCCATTCTCCTCTGACCTCTGGCATCAACAAGACACTGCTCACAGAACTAGAGATGTAAACCCTGAAGATGGTTGTGCGTGAAAATCCCATTAGATCAGCAGTTTCTGAAATACTCAGACCAGCCCGTCTGGCACCAACAACCATGCCACGTTCAAAGTCACTTAAATCACCTTTCTTCCCCATTCTGATGCACAGTTTGAACTCCAGCAGATCGTCTTGTCTATTTATACATGCGTACATGCATTGAGTTGCTGGCATGGGATTGCCTGATTAGAAATTGCATTAACGAGCAATTGAACATGTGTACCTAATAAAGTGGCCGGTTTTTATGTATGTGTATGCATCATCTATATCTACAAATATATAAATAATAGAGACAAATATCTTATGTTTAAAAAAAAAGTTTGATTTTGGATGCGATTAATCGTGGTTCTTTGCCCAGCACTAATAAAAATAAATACAAACGTGTTCCCAAAATAAAAAACAAAACTGAAACTAACAAAAACATTAATGAAATGAACTAAAACTAAACTGAAAATAGCATCACAATAAAAACTCATTTAAAACTGAAAAACTATTATAACCTTGTTTAGACCAAATTTAAATATCAGGTAATACATGGTATTTTAATCATACAATGATTCCAGACGGAGATTGTATCACTTCTGTGTCTTTAAAGGACTTCACTTATCAGCAAAGCAGTTCATGCTTTGGAATCCTTTTATTTGGAGCAACATCATGCGTTTCATAATTGGCAGATTGAAAAACAGATGTCATGCTGCGGTGATTTGCAGCGTCTGGAGTGTTTCTGTCTAGATTGACAATCCAGATGTGATCGTGCGATTCTTACCCAAGGGGTCAAAGCTGGGGTAATCGGGGCAGTTTTGTGAGGCAAAGGTTCCAGCTGGAGTTTCATCCCAACAAAGCAAACCGTCCCAGAATCTGCTGCAGAACGATCCTATAAAAGTCAAGCAGACATGTTAAAAGGGTCATTTTATGAGGACTCAAGTTGCTTGATCTTTGAAGATACAACACTAAAATCATCCTGTAACTTTCTGAAACATCCTCGCTAGTACAGTGAAATGTTTCAATTATTTAATAAATTAGGGTTAGTTCACACAGAAATGAAAATTCTGTAATTACTTATATTTTGACATTTTAAATGAAATCCTACTGTAAAAAAATATCCATAAATTATCAGTTTTCTGTATTTTTGTGATTCTTATTTTTATTTTCCACATTTATTTATGCCTTTGAATTACATTGTGGGAGCTTGATCTTTCTTCTGAACCTTGAAAAGTAAAAAAAAAAAGTGACTTTAAAGAGTTTAAACTTAAAATCATCTGGGTTGGTGTTTTATATTACATTAAAAAAAATCGTGCTTAAAGGGTCTAATAATTTTGTCCCTAAAATGGTTTTTAAAATATTAAAAACTCTTTTAATTCTAGCTGAAATAAAACAAATAAGACTTTCTCCAGAAGAAAAAATATTATCAGACATACTGTGAAAATTTCTTTGCTCTGTTAAACATCATTTGGGAAAACTTTAAAAAGGAAAAAAATAAAATAAAATGGGGGCTAATAGTTCTGACTTCAACTGCAACCATATGATGGTACTTAAATGTTTTAGAAGAGTCAAAAGCGTACATACAGCATCTTTAAAGTCTCTTAAAAAGTCTTTCATTTTTCAAGTGAAAATGCCCTACCTGTTTTATTATGGGATCCATCTCGGCTCAGCAGCTCCAGACATTTGTACTGAGACTGAGTCATGATCAGCCTTTCTCTCTCCATTGCCATCATGACAGGAGAAAGTGATAAGTCAGCTCCGGGATCTGCTTTCGTCTCTGTTGTTCCAGCTTTTGTTATGCTCTGCAGAGAGAAATGAACTTGAACACAGCCGCAGTTGAGCAAAATTCATTATTTAAGAACTGGCCCGGTTTCAGTTCATGAGTTGGAGTTTGATTGGAGCTGGCCAGAGGATTGTGGGACTTCAAATTGGAATTTAAACGGGAATGAAAGAAAGAGGAAGTTACTGATTTCAGTATATTCAACAGAGTTGTGCACAAGTTCTGGAACAGGTCATGATTAAACCCATACTGCAACTTTTTTTTGGTCTAGTTATAAATAAATATATTTATTTTGGCCGTTTATTCTCTAATATGTAGAATTAATTTAATACGTTTTTTTATTTAATACATAAATTTAATACATAGGAAACAGTTTTTATTAAAAATCTATTTTTAATGAAATTTAAATTAAAAAATAAAACTATAAATAATAAATAAAAATATATAGTATGAACATATTGCCAAATTATGTATTTATGTGATTTTGTACATAGCAAATTTAATTTAATTTAATTTAATTTAATTTAATTTAATTTAATTTAATTTAATTTAATTTAATTTAATTTAATTTAATTTAATTTAATTTAATTTAATTTAAATCTTCCACCATGAACATACTGGCAAATTATGTATTTTGGTACATAAAGCAATTTAATGATTTGATTTAAATTATTTAAAATAAAAAAATGTTTATTACATTTATATAAAAAATAAAACTATAAATAATAAATTAAATAAAAAATAAATTATGAACATACTGTCAAATTATGTTAATAATAATTATGTATTTTAGTTTAAATTAATAAAGTTAATTTAATTATTGAAAAAAAACTATTAAATTAAATTAAATTCTTAAATTCATTTAATTTAAAGTTTCTTTCTAATTAAATTTAATTAAATTAAAATTCTTCCACTATGGTAAATTTTGCTTAATTTAATTACACTTTAATAAAATGTACAACATAAATGTTTAGTAGTCAGTAAAATATATTTTGTGCATATTTTGTGTATATTTAAAAAACTATTCAATTAAATTAAGTTAAAATTCTTCCACTATGGTAAATTTCACTTAATTTAATTACAATTTAATAAAATGTATAATATAAATGTTTAATAGCTAGTAAAATATATTTTGTGCATATACTGTTATATTAAAAAAAACTGTAATAAATTAAATCAAGTTAAATTACATTTCATTCTTCCACTACAGTATATTTCACTTATTTTAATTACACTTTTTATAAAATGTACAACGTAAATGTTTAGTAGCCCGTAGAATATAATTTGTGCATATTGTGCATATACTGTGTACAATTAAAAATATATATATACTAAATTAAATTAAATTCATCCTAGGAAATAGTTTTCTTTCATCCCCTAGTAAACAACCTAATTTTAATCAAATGTATTTATTTTTTTTAAATAAAAATACTAACACATTTCTAACAGTGGCTACGATCAAATAAGTGAAAAGTCCTTGTGTGTTATGAATGATAGCAAGTTCATGGGCCATTCATGCTAAATCGTGATACATGAATCTACACAATTTCATTTCATTTTAATTCTATGGCCTTATATTTTGCTCCCTCTTTGCAAGCATTAATTCAAATTCAGTTCAAACTCAGGAATTAGACTGGAATTGAAAATCCACTGTCTGAATGACATATACAACCTTTTTTTTTCCCCAACACGGTTGTGAGGACACCACACATGACATTTGGAAAGCTGTGATTTTACTCATGAGAACTGGCCAAAACATTCCTCTGCTCATATCAGTTTTGTGAAGATAAGAAATCCTCCACAACCATTTACAGGGATAAAAGCTTAACTCACAAAGAAGGCTTGATATCAGAATTCAAAGCGCATCTCGAACCATTGTGTGTCTGCTGTGAGTCATCTTACAGTTCAATAGCAAGTCAAAGAGCCAATTCAGAAGTACTTTACTTTCTCTACACCTCACAGTAATGAATTCTACATTCATTTGCAGCTCCAAATTTAATGGCTTTGTGAAGAGATCTTTAGTTTGTCAGATCTTTGCAAACCCACCATCTCATTATTGCACTTTAAGGCACTGCAGGTGAATAGGGTCGAAACAATGAACTAATATTTATCGTCACAAGTGTCTAAAATGTTATGTTTAAATATGCACATTGGACGTCATTTAAGAAAATATTATCTGATTTGAGAACATTTGTAGAATAAAAATCTGAATATTGGATGGAGTAAAATAATATACACTTCCTGCCAAAAGTCTTGTCGTGTATGCGAGTTTTAGAATCAACAAATAATAACTTGAATTCAAGTTGATCATTTGTTATCAGAAGTGGCTTATATGAAAGGCAAAGGCCTCTAGATTACGCTTATTTTACCAATGTAAAATATGATCATGCCTTGGTTTTTAATTCTTTAATTAGAACAGTATGGTCTTTGCTTAGACAAAAGACTTGTCACTAAACAGGTGACGGGTGGAGGGTGGTAGTTATCAGTAAGTGAAGAGCGTGGAGGTAGGGGGGGGGGGTGTTTGGGGGCGTTGGTGATCGGTAAGTGAAGGGAAGTGGGGGTCACAGTGGCAGGCCAGATTACCCGTCAGGCCACCGGGAAATGTCCCTGTGCTCCCTATGGCCAGTCCGGCCCTGTACAGCTGTATAAATATTAGGGATGTAACGATTCAACCACTCACGATTCTATACGATTTATGATATTACTCTTACAATTCACGATTTAGTCACGATTTTTTAACAAAATTATTTAAAAACAAATAATGTCTGCCTTAACCAAACTGCTATTTTTAAAAACAAATTCCCCAAAACAAGAAGAATAAAAACTAAAGAAGACTCATTAATATAAACACTAAACTTCTTTTTTTAAAAAGAAATATCAGCATATCTCTGTTTTCTGGCATAAGCTGAGCTCTTTGCACATTTACAGTGTCCCCTGCTGAAAAAACTCTTTCACTAGGGACTGAGATGGCTTTTCTAAACCAAAGAGCAGTGTGTACAGGTCAATATCCCCCTCTGCTCCAGGGGACTGGCCACTGGCAGTCCTGCCTGTAACCCCAGCGCCCCCTCTGTTCAAAAAATGCCTCCCAATTTGTTCAACATTTCTACCGATTCGTCACAAATTTAAATTGATTTTCAACCGGCTCATGGTGAATCGTTACATCTCTAATAAATGTACAATGTAAAGCTGTAAAATTAAAACTATTTGGAAATGTTGACCCTTTGAAAATGGATATTTTTATCACTTGTATTTATTCAAATTAATATTGTGGTCACTTTACAAATTTATCAATAGAAATATAATAGATTTCAATTCAAATGAGGTTTTGCAAAAAAAAAAAAAACTAAATCAAAACAAACTACAAAACTTTTTTTCAGAAAGATTTTTTATTGTTATAATTTTTATCTTTATTTATTTATTTATTGTTTATTTATTTATGTATGTATTATATTTACATATTTTATTATTATCTTTATATTTTTTATCTTTTTTATTTATTTATTATATTTTAAGATGTTTTATTGTTATTATAAATTTTTTCTTTATTTATTTTTTATATTATATTTAAAGATTTTTTATTGTTATGATCATTTTTTATCTTTATTTATTTATGTATTTATTATATTATTAAGATTTTTTGGTTATAATTTTTTGTCTTTATTTATTATATTTAAAGATTTTTTATTATTATCATAATTAATTAATTAATTAATTTATTTATTATATTTAAAGATTTTTTTAATTGTTATTATCATTTTTGTATTTATTTATTTATTATATTATATTTAAAGATTTTTTATTGTTATCATTTTTTATCTTTATTTATTTATTTATTTATTTTTATTATTTTTCTAATAAAAAATCATGTAAAATAATATGTCAAAACATTTCCCTCTATCAAAACATTAATATACATATTTTAGTGTCTGCAAGTGCTGCTGAGTGGAGATTTATGGCTGATTTATGACTGTCAAAAATCATTTTGAGAAAAAAACAGTCTTTACAAATATGTATTATAAGTTAAATCTTGTCACAAATCCATAAAGTGCTATAAAAGAAACACATTAAGTTGTATTTTAGATATTTTTTATCCATTATACAGAAAAAAACTCCTCAAAGTGTGTGTTTTTGACTTGTGCCTTGTCGTACACAGTAAGTCAGTGTCCGCTTCTTTAGTGCTGTGTGTCTGTCTTACCTGCACACATTACCGCAATTACAACCCCAAATTCCTCTGTGAGCTTTCTGATGAGCCATGTAGCAGTTTAGCAGCCGTACATATGATGTCACTCCAAACTTTGAAGTAAATGACGTCATACATACGACCACCAGGCCACCACTCAAGTCAGTCCATTTGTCCTTGAATGTCATGATTGCACAACACCATGTTTCACGCTTCAAAGTATAGTCCTTTAATTGAATAAACTCTTCATAACAATCCACACACTTTTTTTTTTTTTTTTTTGCTTGTGTGTGGTCCATGCAGCTTTAATTAAATGCCATTTCCCATTATGCTTTTAAATGTGACGCACTACTCTGCAAGCTCATTATTATTCCGCTAATGCTCTGTCATGGGAAAGTAGCTTCAAGGTCAAAAATAAATACAGGGCTTAAAGGGATAGTTCATCTAAAATTGAAAAACTACTGTTAATTTTATTCGACAGCAAGCTCTCACATGGTTGCCCACTGAAGCTAAGCAGGGCTGAGTCTGGTCAATACTAGGCATTGGACGATAACCGATTTTAAGGTTTACAGCAGTTTGGAAATGTAAAGGTTTTAAAACCGCTAACATTTTCCAATCCAGGCTCATTCTGAAAAGGTATTGTTATGTACAGTGCTTAATTTGTGAATAGCAAGGTCCTGGAACAGATCAAGGTAACGGATCCGGCATGTTACCCGAGGATGTAGAGGTGTCACGCAGGAAAGTGTAAAGAGTGGGTGGGCGGGTTGAGCGGCGGAGTGGAGACACATTAGAAAGTGAAAGTGAACAGCGGACGGAGGAGGATGGTGGTTGAGGAGGGTGATCGGTAAAATGAGGTGCCGGGTCAGATTTCAGAGTTCGACACAAATTAAGCCCTGATTATATACATTTCTGGAGAGCGGCAAATATGTCCTAGGATAGGGGTGTCCAAAGTTGCCCCGGGCCATATATTACATACATTACACAGACACGCGCATATATATATATATATATATATATATATATATATATATATATATATGTATGTATGTATGTATGTATGTGTGTGTGTGTGTGTTATGGAATTATTATAATTTGTTATTTTAATTCATCGTCCAACTGTGTTTCTAGAAAGACTTTCGTTTTTAAAATCTTGAATCTTCTCTGGGCGATTACACTTGCAACACTCATCCTTTATAACTTCTCCTTCAGTGAAGGGTTTTCTGTGCTGTGCGATTAGCTGGGCTACATCATAACTAGCCAGCATAGAATTTTCTTGCACTTTATTAGCACGAAAAAACCTGCTGTTGTTGAGCTGAAAAGCCAGCTGCTATTTGATTTACTTTTTGATCTCGTTCGGCACCAGTGTAAAAGCTGAAGGCCTGATGTTTTATTTTATAATGTATTTTAATATTATATTCCTTCATTACTGCAACTGATTCCTGGCAAATTAAACAGACACATATTCCACTGACCTCTGTGAAGAAATATTCTTTGCCCCATCGTGACTGAAATTTCCTGCACTCACTGTTGATTTTCCTTTTTCTTGTTTGTGCCATGGCTCGCCAAAACGTGATTATGAATTATGTTTCTTTCAGTTTGTTCGGTTCGTTTTACTTCATAACAGGAACTGCAGCCTAATTAAAGGCATGTAATAGCGACACCCGGTGGTTATTTATTGAATTACATTCATTTTTGTATGGTGGGCCAGATTCTATTAATATTCATAAAAAGCCTCGCGGGCCGCCACAAAACTGATTGTGGCCGTAGTTTGGACACCCCTGTCCTAGGAGGTGCATATTTTTTGTAGTTTTCCTGTACCAGAGGCCACTGTGTACGCTTTTTTAGAGTGTCATCCGTGACTGCCCGTCTTTCGTAAATACACCAAAGGCCGCTGACTGAGTGACTGACAGACTGACCCAGTCTCCTCCTTCTCTAAACCAAACCAATAATGTTTTAAAAAGCACAGATTGACCAGCGCCCACCCACTTCCATAAACCCACCCAAAAGTTTTGAAAAGCAATCCAGAAAACGAACAGCCCTTGCACGATTTTAACCACATGTTCAGATTTTACCACATTCTCACCCTGATATTTACTTGTTAATTTTTTTCTTTTTTTTTTTGGCTTCTGTTTTTGTCTTACCTGGGGTTCGTTCTTCGTACCTTGCTTAAATGAGCTAAGGTGATTTGGCGGATCCTGGATCTCTTAATCTTGATAACTGATCTCTGTCTAATTTGTTTCTTCAAACAAGTTCGTGAATCAGATTAAAATGTCTGGATGAACTGATCTGAGATCACTGTGTTGTGAAGGACAGATCTATCAATCCTTGAAATCATGATCATGAGGTACGAAGAACAGGCCCCTGTTCTTTGCTAGACTCAAACCCTGTTGTTGTGGTCAGCTCCTCTCTGTGTCTCAAGTTCCCTGCAATACATGGTGAGCTAACTGGGAAAACTGGTAACAGTGGGAAAGCTGTGTATACAAAGATAAGCAGCCAGCTGGTAAGCAAAAAGAAATGGCATTTTCCTCCACATCCCATAATGCACAGCGCATCGGCTTACGGCAGCTGGATTAGTCCAAAAGGCGCAGCACTTTTTGCGGTTGGGTCTGTTTTAGTTTATATTCTCACCACAAACGAACCGCTCCAGGGTTCATTTGAAAGCGTACCGAGACCCCCTCTTCTTTTTTTGGTCCGATTTTGGTGCACACTCGAGTACGATTGATGCATTCTCACCTGCCCAAACCAACCGCACCAAGAGGGAAAACGAACTCTAGTGTGATTCAACCGAACTAAATGAGGCAGGTGTGAAAGCACAGTTAAAAACGAAATGCTACCATACAGTATGTATTTCTGGCTACATAGTTTGTGATCTTCAAAAATGTATACAGGGCTACGTTTTCAGAATGAGCGTATGTTGAAAAATCTTCTTTCATGTTGTATCTTGGATGGCCTGGGGCTGAGTAAATGAATGGTACATTTTCAGTTTTGTACGAATTATCCCTTTATTGAACGCTGTATGTTATTGTAGTACATGTAAAATGCTTCATATGCTCACATTTCATCATTGTGACACAGTGCCAGCTCCTCAGTATTGATGGAGCTCTGTGGAGCCACCATTTCATGCCTCAAAAGTTCTGTGGGTTTTCAGGTCACCTCTGCTTGTAATTACCAAACTAGAGCAATTAGCGGGTAATGGATTTTCTTTTTCTACTGGACAGTTTTGGGGTGGGAGAGAAATCATCTAATGGCAGTTTACAAAACACAACAAAACTTTAGTGGCCAACAAAAAGTTGCATGAAGCTAAATGTCAGATTCTCAAGATAATTATGTATTTTGGAGCGATTTCACAATTAGTGCATTGCGTGAATGTGCGTTGTACTGAACAACAAAATAAATTCAATCCACTCACCAGGATAAATGATGTCAAAAGCCATAGGGTCTCTTGCCAACCCATGCTCTCAAATCCTGACTTTATCTGTGAACACAAAAACAAACAGACTATTTAAACTTAGGTGTTTATAATAAAATGACCGCTGGCTAAAAGCATTTTTTATGCTAATGAAATAGGGCTGAGCAATAAGGCAAAATCTCATGATTTAAATGATCTCGTATCCCGCTGATAACGAAATAATGATATACAGGCTCGAACCAGCGACCTTCTTGCTGTGAGGCGACAGTGCTACCACACCACCCCCACTCTAGCAACATCTGAGACATATTTTACATCTCCCCTTTAGGTCCCCTTTAAAGCTGCAGTATGTAAGATTGACATCCAGTGGTTGAGCTAAGTATTGCAGTCCAAAATCAAAATACTTTGTCACACAGCCCCTCCTCTGATGACCCCATGCAAATGCAGGTTGCAAGATTAATGCAACAAGAGCAAGCGTTCATGACTAAATCAAGCCTAAACCATGTCTTAACCACATGCGACAATGCAATAGAAGGAATATTTTACATGTTAAAAGAAATTTTTGCAATAACATCACCTGAAATTTTTATTTTATATAGACCAAAATGAGACACTTCTATCCAGCTTAAAGAGACATATATATATAGAATGTTTTCTAATCGTCAAATAACCACTTCAGTAGACAGTTCCTATTTGACTGTGTACATACTAATAATAATGAGGCTAAACCTTCATTTTTAACAGATATGACTTAACCCATACATTATGCTGCAGTTCCTTATAACATTACCAGCTGCTGTTGAGTAATTCAGTTTTTAGTTACTTGCCAAAATCAGTTTATCGTCTCATTTGGCTCTTGGCGAGCGTTAATTTTAGACTATGATATACTTAACCTACAGCGCTGGAATGTCAAAACTCATTTTGATTTGCCCCAAGTGCCATGTAACATTTTATATGAAGTTGTAGGTCAAGAAATCCGCCAGTATATACCAACATAACCCATGCCAACAGTTTATCAACACGAAATGCCATAAATAAGAGCAAACAGCTCATTAAAGATGAGACGTGTGTGACTGTGTTTCACATTGTTTGCTCTCAATGCCGGTCTTTAGATCGCAGTGGGGTATTTCTCTGACAGACAGATAGACCTACACCAGGAATAGCTCCTGAACTGCGCTCTGTTGACAATAGCTCAGATTAACAGCAGCCCCGTCTCCACAGGCTGCGCTGGTGTGCATGTAGCTGAAGCGCTGATTTATTGGCTTGCGGAGTGTATGTACAGCCTCAGGCTTCTTACAATGTTCTGTCACAACACATATCACATTCGGAGAAGATTTCTGGCTCAAATATGACTGTTTTTCTTTCCAAGTTGGTGGATTCCAACCCTAAAAAACAGACCTTTATTTTAAGAACAAATAGGAACATCGTTTCTCATGCAACTGATTTTTGGGCAATCAATTGAGCATGTGAAATGGCTTTAAAAGCAGTAATGCAGGTGAAAAAAATCTTGTATATATTATATTTAATCTTGTACGGTACATGGTACTTTTATTTGTATTATTATATATGTAACTAAATCTGCAATTAAATTCTGTAAACACAGTTGAATTATTAGCCCCCCTGTTTATTTTTCCCCCCAATTTCTGTTTAACGGAGAGAAGATTTTCTCAACACATTTCTAAACATAATAGTTTTAATAACTCATCTATATTAATGATTTATTTGATCTTTGTCATGATGACAGTAAATAATATTTTTGTAGACATTTTTCAATACACCTATACAGCTTAAAGTGACATTCAAAGGTTTAACTAGGTTAATTCGGTTAACTAGGCAAAAAAAAAATAGCAAACGGGCTAATAATTTTGTCCTTAAAATGGTGTTTAAAAATTAAAAACTGCTTTTATTCTAGTTGAAATGAAACAAATAAGACTTTTCCTAGAAGAAAAAATATTATCAGACATACTGTGAACATTTCCTTGCTCTGTTAAACAGCATTTGGGAAATATTTTATAAAAATCTAAGGGGGGCTATTTAATCTGACTTCAACTGTACATTGACCACAAAAAAAAATGTTTTTGGATGTCCTGAGGTTGAATAAGTTTTCATTTTTGGCAGACATACACTGAAAAAAATGCATTGGATTGACTACATTTTTTAAGATTAGTGGTTGCAAACTATTTTTTTGGAATGAATTTAATAACAAATGAATTAAGTTGAACATTACTAACTTTAATTAGTTTACATTCAGCCCATATAAATTGTTTGCAACCACTTGCCTTAATTTGTTTTAGTAAATCCAATGAATCATTTTTTTCAGTGCACAGTCCAAAGAAAATAGCTTTTATTGTGTAGATTTTTTGGACACTTTTGGCAAAAGAAAGTTTGCTAACTATTTTGTTGTTGTTGTTGTTGTTGTAATTGTTGTATGAACTTTATGAGAGAAGTGTATTTAAATGAATGGTGCAACAAGATTTACTATATTTTACTGTTGTCAGTTTGATATTTTTTGTCATTATTTAATGCCCCAAAAAAGCATGCCTTAACCTATTTTGCTCCTATGTTGGTAACAGATTACCTGCACCTGATTTTCATCATTCTGCTTGTTCCTGACCTAATTTGTCTACACGGTGTTGTTTTCTAAAAGAGCTCCTGTATCTGTTCTCTTACATTTCCACATTTTCAGTGATATTTCACTCACAGAATTTTCCACTCTCATTCCCGCTTTCATAGGATTGTGCTGATTTGTCCAGTTCAGTAAATCTGGACCAGTGTCTTTCCCTCATTTACTGAGAAACGCACGCTCCACCAGGGACTCGTGTGCTGTGTTTATGTAACAGTGTGTGTGACCAAATAGCCCACTAGGATTGTAAAAACCTAATGTTAGTCCCACTGCAGAAAACAGTTCGATACTAAAACAACAGAGGTCAATGAAATCCCAAGTGAGGTAAAGACGAACAATGTGTCGCTCAATAAAAACACTACAGAACGAAACAGTTATAATATACACAGTAACACTTGGGAAAATACTACTTTGGATGTATTTGAAATTTGATGGTGCATTTGTTACATTGCATCTACATGTCAACTAATTCTCATTAGATTATAAGTAGACTGTTAGGTTGGGGTTAGGGTTGGGGTTGGTATGATGTAAGTTGACATGTACTTGCAAAGTTTCTTATAGTCAGTTAAATGTATGTTCATATTAAGCAGACAGTCTACTAATACTCAAATGGACCATCAAATTAAAGTGTTACCGCAGCTTCAGTTAATAATATTGTTAGTACATGGTCAATAAATATTACTAACAATTTCAAATTCAGATTACTATGTATCAGTAAATTTCAAAATTAACTACTAAGTTTATTTAGGCTGGAATAAACACAGTTTTAAATATTATTAGCCCCCTTCAAAAATATTTGTTTCTATTGTCTATAGCAGGGCTTCCCAAACTTTTCAGCCCGCGACCCTCAAAATAACAATGCCAGTGACTCGCGACCCCCAAATTCCTCGGAGGTGGTTATAAATATACAAACGTTGCACACAGAACAATAGGCCTATATAAACACAAGCATATTGACAACACAAAAATTTGTAACAGTCTAACAACCATATAATTTTTATAGTCATTTATTCATTTGTTTAATTTAATATGATCCTGCCCTAAAGAGACTGGTGGACACAATGTTTTCAGCACAAGTCTACTCTTGGTTTGATTTTGGAGACCGCCACTTAGAGATCATTTTCAGTGTTGGCCTGTTTTCATTTTTAATGCTTTTGATTGCCGTAAAGGTGTCAGAAAGTTTAACCTGGTGCTGTAAATCAATCTGCTGCATCTGATGCTAGTGTTGTGTTGTTAATCTTAATGAAATGAAATGAAAAAAATTGAAAGGCTGATGGCTTTTCATTTGCATGTTTTTATTTTTTTTATTTAACTATTAACAATGGTTTTTACCTTCTGTGGGTTATGGATAAACTATGATAATTTCAGTAGTTTAATTAAATTGATTTGACTTTTGGAAATCACCAAGTGACCCATTGTCACTGTCCCATGAACCCCCAGGGGGTCTGGACCGCCACTTTGGGATCCACTGTCTATAGTACAAACCATTTTTATCCAATAACTTCAAGGCTCATTCTGACAACGTACCCCTATATATATTTCTGGAGAGCGCTAAATATGTCCCAGGAGCTACTTTTTAAAAAAAAAGTTTTTGTTTTCGCGAATCCGCTAGAGGCCGCTGTGTACGCTTTTTGAGATCTCACATATTTCTTGCGAGTGACATTTGTGCCTGCTGTTCTTGCATAAATCGACCAGAGGTCCCTGTTGACTGTCTGACCGACCAACCGACTGACCCACCCTCCTCCTTACCCAAACCCAACCAATAGTGTTAATAGCATCAATTGACCTGCTCACCCCCTTCCCTAAACCCAACGGCAGTTTTGAAAACCAATGCAGAAAAAGAAAAGCCCTTGCTTATTTTTACCACGTTTTTCAGATTTTACCACATTATCACCCTGTTATTTACTTATTTATTTTATTTTATTTTTTTGTTTCAGCTTCCTTACTGAAACCGTTCTGACTCAAACCCCGTCATTTTAGTCAACTCTTCTTCTACTTGCATCTCAAGTCCTCTGACATACACTGCGAAACAGTGGATTAACTGGTAAAACCGGGAAAGCCGTCCATACGGAGGTAAGCAGTCAGCTAGTGAGCGAGAAAAGGAACTTCGTCATACCGCCCCGTAGCGTTAGCTTTAAAGACGAAATGCAGCCATACATACTTCTGGCTACACAATTCACGATCTCGAGAAATGTATATAAGGATGCGTTTTCAGAATGAGCCTATGTTGAATAACTTTCCTAATTATCCAAACTTGCCTGGTAAACATAATAACCTAGCTAAGCTTTTTAACTGCCCTTTAAGCTGAATACTAATATCTGGCAAAATAACTAGTAAAATATTATGTACAGTTACGCAATACTTGGGAAATATATTTAAAAGTGAATAATTTTCAAATAATTTTCAACTGCATAGATATGATCTATTGACAACACAAATTGCA